ACCTCAAATAACTGGACATGAACACGTGAACATATTTATACTGAAAACATGAAGATTTATGCAAAGGACTGAACTTTGGCCGCGGCGCACTACAAGAAATATGAGTTTTACCAACGGAATAATCTGTTGCTAATCAAATTTCCCAACGGAATGCCATCCGTTTACCAACAGATTTTCTTGTTGCTATATGGCTTGTTACTAACTTTTTCCAACAGAAAATACAATCCGTTGGGAAAATTCCCAACGGATTATCAACAAATTTGCAACGGAAATGCTTCATGAGATTGCCAAGGGATTCTCAACAGAAAATGGAGTTGTTAAATCATTCAGTTGGCAAACTACTAACAGAAAGCAACCATATTAGTTACGAATATACCAATAGATTACCAACAGATTTTTCCCAACGGATTACCAACAGAATTTTCCCAACGGATTGTCAACGGAATATTTTTCTCAACGGATTGCTAAAGAAATTTTCCCAACGGATTGCTAATGAAATTTTCCCAATGGATTGCCAACGGATATTTTTCCCAACAGATTACCAAGAGAATTTTCCCAACGGATTACCAACGAATTTTTTTCCCAGCAGATTACCAATAGATATTTTTTCCCAACAGACTACCACCGGTTTTTTAGCAACAAAAATTGTTGACCCAACTTGAAGGCTACAACCACCTGACCCAGGTTGAACCACATGGCTCACAATGAGCCCATGACCATCCACCAATATAATCCTTACTAATTCTCTCAATTCTCACACACTAGGGATTGAACTCAAGACCTCTTGCATGTTAAAGAGGTAGCACCACCACTAGGCTATATCAATGTATGATACATGATTATACAATTCTTATTTTTATCAACTATGTAAATTATATAAAATAAGAATTATGGAATATAAATTATATTTTGTTTTTAAATTCATAAAAATTTTTAAATTATTTATGCTCCAACCGTTTAATTATATTTGGTATTTTTTTAATATGTTAAATTATAAAAATAGTGACTATATATATAAGTATCTATAAATTTATGACATTTGTAAATGAACTAGTAGAATCTCTTGCGACGCAAGGGTAAGAAATATGTATGAAAATTTATAAACTAAAAATACTCATTAATAATATTTGTAAATTAAAAATATGGAATCAGTATGTGATACAGTTTACGCATATTAATTTATTGAAAATGTTATATGAAATTTAAATTGTCCAAAATTACATAAAACATGTGTATTTAAATTACTACACAACTCGTACGGTGCACTAAGTGATAATAAATTATATTATATTCATTTCCAAAAAAGTGTCATTTTAAATTATTTTATTTATAAATTCGATTTGGCTACAATGTGATTCCATAAAAAAAATATTTTAGTAAAATTTTATCATATATTTAAATATATATATATATATATATATAATAAGCATAATTATAAAGCTTATATTGTTTAGTTAATTAAAATAAATTTATTTTTGTATAAATATCCAAATCAAAAAATTTAAGTAGTGGAGTAATTTATTAAACTATAAATAATAAACTATTTCATTTACATTCAAGTTAATATAGACCCGTAAGTTATGAATAATTACTTATTTGGCTTTTAAATTTGAAACCCAAATTTAGACTACACAATAAATTTTCTTTTATACATGTATACACACACACACACACAAGCGTTATCGTTCAAATTTCTAGATATGTTGTCGGTCACGTTATCGTTCAAATTTATCACCGCGTTAAATAATGTTTACAAATTTAAATATGGAATAAATATGTTATATGATTTACCTATATTAATTTGTTGAAAATGTAATATAAAATTTAAACTGTGCAAAACTACATAAAACGCGTATATTTAAATTAATACGCAACTCATAGTGCACTAATTGATAATAAATTATTTTATATTCATTTGAAATAAGTTTGTCATTTTAATTTTTTTTTCTGAAATTAAAAGAAATATTTTGGTAAAAGTTTATCTTATATGTAAATATCTATATAAATAATAAGTACAATTAAAAAACTTATATTGTTTAGTTAATTAAAAATTATTTTTGTATAAACTATGCAAATAAAAAATTTAAGCAGTTGTGTAATTTAATAAATTATAAATAAGTAATTATTCCATTAACGCTCAACTATAAATTATGTAGTAGTGATTGATTTTATTTTTAATTATACTAATAAATTAAGAAGAAAGATATAAATTTTGATGAATTTGTTTAAATATTTTAAATTAATTACATAACTAAATATTATTAAGGTATACTAAATATTTATCATTATATATATATATATATATATATATATCTAAATATAGAATTTTACTTTTCTAAGTGTTATAATTATAATAATAATGTCATTATGACAATTAAATTTAAAAAAATATGATTGAGTATTACGATAAACAAAAACAAGTAAAATTATTACTTTGTTTATGTCAAAAAATAAATATAAAAATCCGTTGCTAATACAATATTAAAAGTGTCCGTTTCTATTCCGTTGCTATTTGCTAACGGAAAAATTCCGT